ATTATTAGTCTTATTATTTTAATAAAAATATTCCATTAGTTTAATAAAAAAGTTCTTTATCATTTTGATTTTTTTAATTATAATGAAAGAGTCACTCGTTTATATTTAGATTTTGCGAGCAAGTATATTCGTGCGAGGAAACAGTCCAGCGTTAGGTATATTCGTGGTTGCTAGGCGCGTAGCAAGATGTGTTTTGAGGTGTGCACTGTAATGCGCTATCATTTATAGATAATTTATAGATCCAAACATCATGCCGCGTGTCTAGCAACCGTGACCTATACGTAACGCCAGTTCTCTCGCGCGCGTATATCATTCATCCCCAGATTTATATAAATTAATAAACTTTAATTATCGAAAATCTTAAAATCATAAAATGAAACAGAACTTTTCTATTCGATATAATCCGCTTTATTTGCTCACGAGAGAGATGATACAGTTATTATTAGACATCTATGTATTGCGTGTACAAGATGTCTCATAATTAATTATATATCGCTTGTATGCAGATAAAGCGTGTTTAACTGTACTGAAGAAAAGTTCATTTTACGATCTTCGTAATTAGTAATTAGTTGTTAATTAAGTAAAAATGGCCAAGGTGCGAGTGCACAACAAAATACGATCGTCCAACATCACGAACATTCACGAGTTGTTGAAAAGGTGATAAGATATTTGGAGGTTTACACTAAGCAGATACTCCATTACTTGTTGACCACACATTTAAACATTTCGCTAGTTTCTAGTAATCATAAATGCGCGTAATGTTAGGCAATCTCTTATTGTGCGTTTATATTTGCCGACAGACCGAACGGTATATGCGCTTATTCAGAAATTTTTTTATTAATTAATATCTCATTATACTAATTGCGAAAATCACGAAATGGTAAGAAACTTTTGTACTTGTAATTTAATCTGTTCTCCTTGTGTGCGATGTTATCATTAATTATAAGATACTCTGTATATTTGCCTCTTTTTGTTTTTATAGATATTTTTATATATTCTAGATGCATTTATTTAATAGACGATTTTAAGAGATTTGTATTATATTATAAAAGCAGTTATTTTAGCATAAAGCAGTAAACTTTATGTAAATATTTATGCGAAATATGTTATTTTTATTTTTATTTTTATTTAAAGCTATACTAAATACATATAAAATACTTATAAAAGAGATTAAGAGAGGTAAAAGAGAAATTTCTTTGTGTGCACATACTTTTACAGAGTATTTCTAGAATAATTCTATTTGGATATCTAGATATCTAGATGTAAGATGTGTCTATATATGAATACATACTATTATGATACTTGTACATGGAAAGAATGTTTTTGCTGGCAAATCTAAAAATTTAGCTAAATACAGATCTGAAAATAATTTTAGTGAACTTTCAAATTTGTATGTATGACATTTAAATAGAAGATCAAAAATTTGCTATAAGTAAGAAAAATTTTTGCAAATTATTATTACCAGAATAAGAGTCCTGAATAATAATTTTGATGATGCGACAAAATTATTTCCAGATCTGTATCTGGTCAAATTTTTAAATTTTTTGTCAGTAAAACTGTTCTCTCCATGTATTACTTTTATTTATATTATAAAATTATCCTCCTTCATGAAATTTTACTGTGTTTTTTAAGGAAGAATGTAAAGATAATTAAGAGGATCCATATGGCAGAGTACAGAGTACAGAGAAAAGCTTAACATCGCATAAAGTTTCTATCATCCGTGTAATGATTCACGAGGGATGATTATGCTCTTGACATGCAACGTCCGTAAAAAGAAAAATGAATGCGAGCATGTTCATAGGGGTTTCTTCGGGCTTATGCGCTTGTATCACCTTTCCTCTTTCATTATCGCCCCTACAACGATGGTTAGTCTTTTTCATCCTGCGTAATTAGTGATTAACACATGAAACAGATGATGCCTGCCCTCACGAGCAATTGCCCGCGTGGAAAAAATGACGCGAATGAACATAACAATGCGCAAGACGATCCCTATAATGAAAAGAAAAAAATATGCTTATATTTCTATATGTTAAATTATACAGCCTCTTGGAAATTTGTCACGTTGACATAAAGCGTGTTGGATGTTTATTTGAAATGCATGATGTCAGGCTATACATGAAGTATTTTTTTTTATATATTATTTTACTCCTGATATTTTGAATAACATTGTAAAATAAACTTTTTATAAACTTTTTAGAGGTAATAATACATAAAGCATATCTAATCATGTATATATAAGTATTCTAAGTTTAGTGTTCTTAATATTTATGTATCATTACTTGATGCATTGAACATAATCTTACTTCAAATGTTACCGTATCATTATTAAATTACTACATTGTATTCATTAAACATCATCACACTTTATTAAAGCGAATCATCGAACTGTGATAGCTGATTGATGATGCAATTGATCAATGATGCAATTAAAACTAAGATCGCTGAATCTTTCTTATTTGAAAGCAATGCGAAAAGATGGAAGCTTAATAACGATTTACGCATCGTATAATTTGAAAGCCTTACGGCAAACAGTCTCGATCAATACTTTCTTGCGTTTGTCTGATTCCATTCGAAGTTAATATTGAGCATACTGAGACTTTGCTGCTTGACGTTATGAATTTACGTGAATTTAATAAAAACGATGTTTGCTGTAAAAATATTTGCCATCATTTTCAGTCATTTTGAATTTTCAAATATACAATAATACCTGATTGTTATCTTAACAATATCATATTCATTATATTAAAGTATATATTTTTTGTAATAAAAGAGCTTGAAAATAACTGTCTGTCTCGTTGCCTAAGGCTTAAAGAGAAAAATGCAGCAGAGTCAAATGTAATAAAGATAAAAGGGAAAGAAAAATATGAAATGAACAAGAATAAACACGAGACAGAAGCGGAGAGAGGAGAGAGCAGTAGGCGGACTGGTCGCAGAGGCGGAAAGTCAATATTGTACGCAATGGGGTACACATGGAGAGAATTATTATCGTGTTAAAATTTATCGAATATATTGGAGACGCGTCTAAATAAATTTATTTCATCATGTGCATAAATTTTTTATGTTTCCAATATCCTACTTATTGAAAAAAAAAAAAAATGCCAAAATTGTGAATGGAGAGTCAGTGGATGACGAATGATAAACGTGTAAGATTTTTTCAATTGCTTAAACTTCAAATTCGACCGCCGCTCAAACGTCACGTGTTTTCGATTATCAAATAAATAAAATTTTAAGCCAGACAAATCAAATTAATAATCTATATCTTGAATATGTTCCTTATTTTATATACATATTTCGTTTTTACAAAAAATACTTCAAAATTGAATTTTTATTATCGAGTTAAATTAATTTTTCAATTGCGGATTATATAAATGTAAAATTTTGTATCAATCAAAACATTAAGTATTTTTCTATAAACAGCACGAGAAACATACAAAAAAATATCTGCAACAGGAAGTGTTCGATAAAGTAAAATGCTTCGATTATATTTATGATTGGAATGTGCTTTAACGATATGTGTAAGGAATGTCATTTAAACTGTCAAGGAAAGTTTTGAGAATGTTATTAGTAATACACAAAATACATAAAAGAATAAATCTGAAAATGTTTTTTGTTCTCAACACATTCATTTTTTT